AATCAATTTTTGTCTACAGATAAATTCTAAAAGGACTCCGTAATACAAATATCTACATAAAATTACATTAAACAATGTAAACATTGAATTTAATGGCCATTTTGTATTCAACCCAGAATAACAGCCTCAGGATTTAATATGATACTGAAAAAATGTGTTTCAGTACGGGAACCAACCTGATGTGTCTCAAAACGTGGCTGTATTTCAATTTAACCTGGGGAGCCAATGCATACAAAGGAGAAAAAAGATTGCAATTACCATGTCCAACTATCTTCTTAAACATGATTTATCTTAGCTAAAACTTTGTGGGAAATTCAATATCAAACAAGTCAAAACTGGGCAATATGGGGATTATGTGTCACCTGGGTGGCTGAATGGAAACTTCTTACAGTGAGTTCCTGGGATGCTTGTAGACCTAATTCTCATTTTGCTATCAAGAAATTTCATACTCAAATGTCTTAGACGTTTCTGGCTGAGATTCCATAATTCCCTTTTGTTGTTTATTTATGAACATTTATTTATTTATTGTATTTTAGGGAAGGGTCTACAGATGTTCAGAGTTTCACTACTAGATTGCACTCATAGTGATCCGCCTGTTTACAGCCTCCCAAGAACTGGGGTAGCAGGCACACACCACAATGCCCAGTCTCAATTGCCATCTCAGCACGCCTCGGTGACGGGGCTGGCACAGCAGGCCTGGAGATCATATTTATGAACACTTAAATATATTGTAGGGGCCAGGGAGATGGCTCAGTAGAATAAACTCTTCCCTGGCAAGTTCAAGGGCCTGAGTTCAATTCCTGGTTCCGCCAAAAAAAAATTAAAAATAAAAGATAAAATATATTATAAAACAGGATAGCATTAATCCCCAATTCCAGTATAAATCAATATACATCGAACAATGTTACATAAAATCTGATCTTCTGTATCTGCACATTTTGAAAACCTCAAATATTATGTTTCATTTGTAATTATTTCACCTTATACTCCTAAAATGTAAGGGCTATTTTTTAAAAACATACCAAAGAAATCATTGCAGCTAAAAAACATAATTATCAGTTGATTTCTTCAATAGTTTCCTTCGAAAATCAACATACTGATTTCTTCCCTTACACATTCATGTCAGTCTTCTATCAAATGGTGAAGAATGTTCTACTTTTTGTGAATCTGGAATGGTCTAGTCTGATTGGCCATTAGATTGTAGAAGAAACTATAGTCATTTCATATCTGAACTTTAAGAGAATTAAAAATGTTTATTTCTCTTTTGAGTACTGTGTCTCCACATGTTGCTAAAGATTTCTGGCAAGTAAAATACATGGTAAATTTATAATCATTTAATATACATATAGCTATGCACACATTAAAAGATCTTGTACTTGAACATAGCAATTACTACCTATTCATCATTAAAACACACACTACTACAGAAACAAAACTACAATAAGGGCTGGGAAGATGGCTCAGTAGAATAAGCGCATCCCTGGCAAGTGCAAGGGCCTGAGTTCGATCTCTGGTTCCAGAGAATATTTGACTAACTAATTGCTTAATGTAGAAACCAATAAAGCCCCAAAGCTAAAATTAACTTCAAGCAAACACACCTCTTATATAGTTATCAACTAATACCATTTAAATTGACTCTGAAAGCATGGTAGAAGGTTTTGCCGTATGGATTATATTAGATTGCTCCATCATAGTAATTAAATATTTAATTTTTAACACTATTTTAAGTATTTCACAATAAGGTATTGAGATTTTTTCAGAAAACCTTCACATACTACATTAAACTATAAACAATAGCCAAATTTTAATTCTTTCTGACCAAGAGAGTTCTCAAATATTTAATTTGTGTGAATAGCTTGAATTGACTGGTTTCATAAATGTTGTATAATTTTCATTTTATCATTGTATTAGTCTTAAGGCTGCAGTAATTAAGTAACTAGTTGTCTTAACGCAATTGCTTTCTAGGGTTCAAAATCAAGGTGTTGTTAAGATTAGTTCTTCAGGAGATTCTGGGAAAAATCTGTTTTATTAAAGGATAGAATATGTTCTGGTAGCTGCAAGAAATTCTTGGCTTTCCCTTATGTCCAGTTGTTTCTGACTCTATTCATAGCTGGGATTCTGCCTCCATGTCTTTGTGTTTCTGTATCCAAATTTCTTTTCTTGTAAGGACATCTGCTATTGGATTATGGCCTATTCCAAAGTTCTGTGATCTCATTTTAATTACATCTGCAAGAATATTACTTTACAAGGAGATGAAATCCATAGGTACTGGAGATTAGGACTTCAACATTTTGGGAGTACACATTTTTACCCATAAAATTTATGTTGCGTGAAATAGGTATAAAATGTTTTAAATTAGTTTTATTTTTGAATATTACAACTAAGAATAAAATAAGCAATTATTAGGTTTTTGAAGTAGTTGCCTTTGTCTTCAAACAAAGTTCATATGCTATCCAAATATGAACAGCCTTAATCTAAAGCTTAAATTGAGGTCTCCATTGTGTTACATTAGACATCAGCAGCCTGGCCCTTCCCTCATTACTGCAGTCTTCCCCAACAATTGCCCTTCTATCTTTTTTTTGTGTGTGTATTTAGTACAGCATCTATAGGATCTCCTTAAACAGATCAGACTCTCGGTGATCCTCCTGATTTCAGCCTCCCAAGTGCTGGGATTACAGGCCCATGCCACCAAACCCAGTCTCAATCATTGTCTCAGCTGGCCCCAGGAGTGGGGCCAATGTCGGTGAGGCATGTGGTACCAGGGATCGAATGTATTCCCCTTTTAATAAAATAAATTTGTAGATTTGATTTTGAAAGATGTAAGCAGCTCACAATTTTAGTATTGTTTCATTAAATTACTCAGCACTCAGAGGAGTCTACTGGGAAGGAAGTTGGGGAGGTTTAACAAGTACATATTATGAAATGACTTTGAAAGACAAAATAAGGATTTAGATTTTATGTGCCAACTGAGCTGCCTCTGGTTTTTGAGAAAGGAAGGTTTCATTTCAGAAGGGTACTGAAGAAGTGACCCAACCACTCTTTCAGATGGAAATGTCACATGCTGGTTTCTGGTGCTAATCACAATGCGGCCTGAGAGTTCAGTGTAGAGATTAAGATGGATTTATTGAATGATGGTTAATTTAAACATCATCCCTACTTTAATTTTCAAGCTGCATACTTAAATACAGATTCCAAATTCTAAGATTTTTTAATATTTAATGAGTTATATACTGATTTTATTCTCCATATTTCTGTTTTGATAAAAATAAAATCTTGTCTTCATGTAATAGTTTAAGATAAAGCCCTATTCCCTCCAAAAACTGAGTGATCAGTTTTACCTGGAGTTTAATACACGATGAAGTCTGACTTTTTGTTTTCCAAACTTAAGTAAGTTTAACTGTTATCTGAAAGCAATTTTTTTTTATTGTAGACTAATTCTTTTTTTTTTTATCTTATGTATTTGGTACAGGGTCTACTACACAGCTCTGACTTGTAGTGACCCTCCTGTCTCAGTTTCCCCAGCACTGGGATTACCGGTGTGAGCCACCATCCCCGGTTTCGGTGGCTGGTTCAACATGCCCAGGTTTCCAGGGGCAGCACAGCATGTGGTACCAGGGATCAGACCCAGGTCTTTGTGCTTGCGAGGAAGACACTTAGACCATTGAGATATCTTCCCAGCCTTGTAAATGAATTCTTGGGTTAATTTGAAGTTACATTATGTACTATTAGAGATTAACATCTAAAATTGTTCTTAAAACAAGAATGGTAACTTGTATGGGGAGAAGGTATCAGATACAGCAATTTTAATAAGATTTAACCCTGAAGTTTTCCTGAGTTAATTCATTGTTATAGCCAATATTAAAATACAGTGGGTAGAAGTACTAAAAATACAGACTATTCTGACTGACCAACAGGAAATTATCTTGGCTTCACGCTGTTTAGAAGACTCTGGTCTAAACAATATATTTAGTGAAATTACTTTTGAAATAGAGCCATTGCATGTGTGGGGTTTTGCAAGAACAGGATAGTAACTCTTCGTCGCTTTAAAATGGTTTTTCTTATGCCATTTATATAGTGAGATAGCCTTTGTGTTTATCTTGTGTTTTTGAAACTTGATCTGAAAACACAAAACAATGGATTTATCCGTTTGGTAGGAACACAAGTTAAATTTAGCCTTCATTTCTTTCAGGTGAACAAAAGCTTTAAATGGTGAACTAGTTTAGCTTGCCCAATGCTTTATGAAGTAAAATATATCTTAAGGCTTATCTGCTCCTTGGTGGCTAAGAATCTTGGAACACTTTCAAATCAATTTTCTAAACATCTTCTTTCAGCATTTTTCTTTTAGAATTCTCCAAATTTCATGGAAGAGTTTGGGTGAAAGTATATTTGTCCTAGGATATTAAAATACCCCCTCATCATTTAGAGAAAAAAAAAACTCTTTTATTTTAATCTCATTTACTTCTCCCTAACTCCATGGTAAAAATAAATTACAAAGAGAAAAACTACTTCATTACATATTTGAATAAGTTATGTTTAATTTACAAAGTCTAAATTACATGATAAATACAAGCAAATCACACATGACCTTGGATCCAAGTGTACTTCTATTCTTTAGGCCAATACCTAGATTGAAAATTGAATTATTACTTGTATTTCAAAATGATTTTATGCTTTTCTAAAACTAATCTCACATTTTTATTTCTTTCAAGGTACTATGTTTCAAAGGAATAACTACTTGGTATCTGATGAATAATAGTTATTATTTTTCGATGAAAATCAGATTTTTTTAAGAATTACAATGATGTTTTCTTGAACCAAACATTTCACATAACAGGGGTTTATATGAATGTATTCAAATGTATGTGTGCTTTGCATGCATTCTTCAAGATTACATAAATCCTTTATAACAGCCTTTGCAATATAATTATCTTAATATTTTATAAGACTTTTAGCTTAAATAATGACAATTATACATACAGTATGCTTTTCTTCATGTTTAGGTTCTTTCTTTGGGAGCAGATGTCCTGCCAGAATATAAACTACAGACACCACGCATCAATAAATTTACAATATTGCACTACAGCCCCTTCAAGGCAGTCTGGGACTGGCTTATTCTGCTACTGGTCATATATACTGCAATATTCACGCCCTACTCCGCAGCCTTTCTCCTCAATGACAGAGAAGAACAGAAAAGACGAGAATGTGGCTATTCTTGTAGTCCTTTGAATGTAGTAGACTTGATTGTGGATATTATGTTTATCATAGATATTCTAATAAACTTCAGAACAACATATGTAAATCAGAATGAAGAAGTGGTAAGTGACCCTGCCAAAATAGCAATACACTACTTCAAAGGCTGGTTCCTGATTGACATGGTTGCAGCTATCCCTTTTGACTTGCTGATTTTTGGATCAGGTTCTGATGAGGTAAGAGCTGCTTAAGCATCTTATTTTCTGAAAGAAACTTCAAAAAAGTGGTTGATTTATAAACTTCCTTTATCTCACACATGAAATTCATTTTCACTTCACTTGGAAGCACTAGAATATAAGATGGAATTTTTTTCATGTAAATAATTTAAATTCCTTCTATTTTTACTAAGAGATGCAAAATATTCTCCATCTTTTAGCCAACAAATTAAACTGTCAAACAAGTGAGATAGATAGATAGATAGATAGATAGATAGATAGATAGATAGATATAGAGATAGAGAGAGA